CACTAGTGGGCACATACAATAAAAGCCACCACAAAAGCCTGAGCTCACCAATCAAAAGACCCAGAAAGAGGCAGCCTAGCAGGACAGAAAACATTTAGACAATATTAATCTGTGCTAAATACCACAGAAGAGAAATACAGCCCCACCCCAGCACACAATAGCCAAGGTCAAATAGAGAGCCAAGACAGAAAGAGAGCTGCAAAATATGGGAGTAAAACTGATACAACTAAAAGGAGATATAAACAAAGTCCATAATTCTAGTTGATTCTAGTTGGACATTTCAAGATTCCTCCTTTGACAATTGGTATAATGACTAGACAGAAAATTAACAAGAATGTAGGACTGAACAACATTATCAGTTTCTGGGCAATACTTATAAAACACCCTATCCAACAATAGGAAAATATACAGAATCAAGAAATAGTCCCAAAACAAGCATGAAGAGTTGAAATGACACCAAAAGCACACTATAGAGAGAAAATTGAAAACTGAACTTCATTAAAATTAAAAACTTGTACTCTGCAAAAGACTCCGTTAAAAGGATTAATAAACATGTGATAGACTAGATGAAAATGTTTGCAAACTACATATCTCATAAAGGACTCATATCTATCATTTATACATAACTTTCAAAAATTCAATGGTAAAATGCCAACATTTCAATTTGAATATAAAAAAAAAAGAAATATTTCACCAAAGAAAAGCAAATAACCTAATGAAAATATGTTCCACCCCACTAGTCATTAAAGAAATGCAAATTAAGATCACTACAAACTGTTAAAATAGCTAAACTAAAAATAATGACAATACCAAATGCTGGCAAGGATGCAAAGAAACTGGATTTCTCATATGCTTCTGGTGAAAATGCAAAATAATACATCCACATTGGAAAGCAATCTAGCAGTTTCTTTAAAAATCAAACACATACTTATGACATACCCAGAAATCCCACTCTTGGATATTTAGTAAATATATCCACACAAAAACATGTACTTCGTTGTTCATAACAGCTTTATTTGTGAAAACCAAAGCTGGAAATAACCAAAATGTCCTATAATAGGTAATAGTTAAACAATGCTATATTCCAAATTGTGGAATATTACTAAGCAAAAAGGAATGCATTGATTCACACAAAAGCTAGGAGAGATTTCAAGGGCACTGTGAGTGAAAAAACAATATTATCTCTAAAGTTCATTTACTTTATAATTCAATTTGTATAACCCTCTAGAGATAATCAAATTATGGACATGGAAAACAGATGTATAAGTGGTGCCAAAGGTTATTGACAGTGGGGACAAGGAGCTGGGTGTGTCTCTGAAGGAGTGAGTAGCACAGGGAAGTAATGGGGTGACAGAACAGTTTTCTTTCTTGCTCACCATAGTGGTTAAAAATGACTATATACACATTTTGTGTCAGTGTCAATTTTCTGGTTTTGATGTTTTCCTATAGTTACTAAGATGTAACCACTGGGGAAAATTGCGTGAAGGCTGAGCAAGGTCATTCTGTACCATTTTTATAAATGTTTAAAGGGAAGAAAACAGCCATACCCTGTAATATATTCTTAAAAAAAAAATACATCCTCTAAATTTTTCAAGGTTTTCATGCCAAATTTCAAAATTAACAGCTTTTCTCCTAATTGTTGACTAAACCAAATTATAGATGCAGAAGATTACTGTTTATTTATTGCTTCCTTTAATTAATAACAGTAAATAATGCTAGAAGTTTTATATATGCCATATCATAAATAACTAATTTACAATTGCTAATGGGTATCAAAGGATCAAGGACACCAACATCATCATTTAATCAAAAAATCTCCTTTAACACATTAGCTGCAACCTCATTATTAACCTCAAAATCAGGCACTTTTACTAGAGCTGCCAACAAGGAAACAAAATGTGACTAATTTTCTACTTCTCTCTATTGAAATAGGAATTAATGAATATAAATATGTCCCAATTTGATATCTTAACAGCTTCCATATTACATACTTGGAAAACTATGCCTGAATAATTGGGCCATTGATTATTTCTGGAACATAAATGAAGCCCTCCAATTTAATCTTATTTAGACATGAAAATTACAATAAACAAAGGTTTCCAGATTACCTTTAGGTTTTTATTTCAAATTATCTCCTTGCATAAATCTTTATTTGAAAAGATTTATTCGTTAATATGTGTAGTGATGAATATTAACTAGACTTACTGCAGTGATCATTTCACAATATATACAAATGTGAATCATTATGTTGTACACCTGAAACTAATATAAGGTTATGTGCCAATTATACCACAATTTTCAAAAATAAAGAAAAAAAGACTCATTTGTTAAACTGCTAGACCCCCATTCTTCAATTCCTAATAATAGCATATCCAAATATGTCTCACATTCTGCTTTCATAATTTACTGGCAAAGTGAAAATGCGTATAGGACTATTTTAAAGGAGCCTATTGGAATTCTTAACAGTATTCTGTTTTTTTTTTAAGTAAATGTGGGTAAGTCTTAGAAAATACCTTTTGAAAAGTACAAATGCAGATTTACAATGCCTTATCTGCAATTCTGAAATCTTTTGAAAAGTAAAAGATTTTATGTAATTCAACTGGTTGCAAGACCGCTCCTAAACAGAGTAATACCCCTTCCTTTACAGCAGAAAGGTGAATGTGTGTGTTCTGAGAGCAGCTTGTAATATTTGATATACTTGGTGTCTTTCCTTTCCAATTTAAAAATTCCCATCTCATGAGATATGTCTGGCCCCAAGGTTTGGGATGGGGGATTATGAACCTTTCCTAGAAAAGTATGGGATAGATATTTAGATAGCACTGAAAATAAGAAATTCTATGTCTGGAAAATGACCCATGAGCACAGATATTTCATAACATGAAATTTGAGAGGAGAGTCAGATAAGCACCAAACTGAACTCCATTTTCTTTTTCTTTTTCCTTTTTTTTTTTTTTTTTTGATGGGACCCTCACCGGCGGCCAGGGAATGAACCAGCACTGAAGAGGCTGTGGGCAGCCTTGCAGGCCAGCGCTCAACCACTTCCCCACCAGGGGAGGTCCTGAACTCCATTTTCTTAATAAAGAAATTGGGAGGTTGAGCAACTTACCCACATTTATCCAGCTCTAGAACACAGGCAATCTGGCTTTGGAAATCATGCTTTTAAGCCACAAAGACTCTGTTTCTGAAGGCTTATCCTGAAAATCTTCACAGTCACAGCAGAGTGAGGCTGAATCCCAGAGCTGAAAGCAGGAGGATTTTGTAAAAATTCATACTCTTATGGTAAAATTCTAGGCACCAAGACACAATCAGAGTAAAGCTACCTGATTATGAAATTTCAGGATTCTTTAAAGTAGAGGAATGAACAGCACCAATGATTACAATTAAGGAAGTGCTCTCAAGCACTCCTCTACTATGGAATTCACCTCTGAAAATCTGGACTTGGACTCTTAAGTCCACCAATCGAGTGCTTTTTAAGTGTTTAGGGTTCCAAGACCCAATTGCAGTGTGTGTGTGTGTATGCACACTCCCAGCCTTCCCCACATCAACAAAAAACTCAGATGCCAACTCAATTATGACACCATCTACCAAGAGAGAGCATAAGATTCCAACAGATAAGGGTTCAGTCTCCCAAGACGGCCCTCCACTACAGTTGTCCATCATAAGCCCAGGCTGAATGCTGTGCTTCTGACCAACTGGCTACAGATTGGAGATTCCCAAGACCCTGTCCTTAGACTTTAACTGCCAGTTGCAAGTCCAGGTTTTTACCTGTTCTTCTGAAAACCTGGTTATATAAATCAGTTAGCCAGGACTCCCTCCATAGGTTCTATTATTATTATTTTTTAAAGATTTATTTATTTATTTATACAAGCACTGGGTACAGTCAGAAGAGAATTCACCAGAGCCGGAGCAGGGAGCAGAGCAGGCAGAAGGACTGAAGTACACTGCTGAGGGGAGCAGCGGGCAGCAGGAGAGGTCTGAGTGCCATGTGGGACCCTCCTCTGGTGGCCGGGGAGCAGCCGGGGATCGAACCAGTGCTGCAGAGGCTGCTGGCAGCTTCGCAATCCGGCGCTCAACTGCTGCACCACCGGGGAGGCTCTGTAGGTTCTATTATTATCTAATTACCCGTATATCACGGAAACATTCTCAACCCAAGTGCACTTCTTCACCCTTTTAATCATTGTATAGGATTCCTTCTCTGCTGTATCATATTTTTTATCCCTTTTTATGGACATTAGGATATTTCTGATGTTTTTCTGGAAATGATACTTCCCAATAAAAAATTACATCTTAATAAAGAGTTCCCCATTACTTTCCAAAATGGTGGACAAATGAAGACTCCCACTAATCAAATTATCTACAGATAATGGTATGTTGACTCATGCAGTATTTTTCTATGATTTTGTGGCATGTGTAAACTTTCTGAAGAAAAATAAGATTACTGGAAACAAATTTTGTTTATGTCCTTCCTAAATTTAATTACAACACTTACTTGTCATAACTGTTCTCTGCATAATTTAAAAAAATGATGTTAGGTTTTCTTTGTTTAAAAAAATTTCTAGTTCAAGCGTTTTAATCAGGATTAATGTTAAATTTTATTTAATATTTAGCATTTATCAAGTTATTTCTGCTAAGCACTTCTCTGAGAAGAGTAAATTCTTTGCTGTGTAAGTGTACAGTAGAATGTTTTTTAATTATTGTTTTAGAAATCATATCTGGAGAATTGTGCTCCATATAAATACATGAATTTTTAAAACCAGCATCTAAATGATGGATTAATTGTGCTGGAAGAGGATTCCTTAAAGATTTATAAATGTTTCTTATCCTTCAAATTACACAAGATTATTTACTTGACCAGTTCGGGAAATTACCATCTTTTAATAACATTACCTTTAAGATCATTTGTAAAGAAGCACTTTTCAGATACTTATGAAGCTGTATTTAAAAGGCTGAAGAATTCTTAGGTGGTTTTTCAATCACTGCACGCTTTTTGCTCTTATTAGGGGCACAGCGATCGCTGGCATCGTGTTTGGAATCGTATTCATCATGGGGGTCATTGCCGGAATCGCCATATGCATCTGCATGTGCATGAAAAACAACCGCGGGACCCGGGTAGGCGTCATCAGGGCCACCCATATCAACGCCATCTCCTCCTATCCTGGTAAGCAACACAGCTTACTCCTGCTAAAGGAGGAGTCAATTTTGTTAGTGTATCTCACTCATTGTAGGGAGGAATCATTGAAGACCCTTGCTGGAATAATCTTCAAGTGCATGAGGTATCTGTACATCAGTGTTGACTGAGGCTCTAGATTTGAATGGAGATTACTCAGAAGATCCAAGTAATAAAATCCATCTCATATTTTAAGATGATCCTGTTGTCCATGGTTGTCTCACTGATTTCAGTTGTCAATCAGCCAGAGTTAAGAACAATAGACAAATCACACCCTTAGTGTCTATCTGCCAGTGAGGTCTGACAAATTATTACAGAGAACGTAAAAGTTACATGTCTGAAGAACCTGGTGACTGATTTGATAGGTATGTATGTCTCCTAAAAAGTATTGAATACATTTTTATGTGTCCTCTATATGTAAAGAAATTTGTGATGACATAATATTGGAATTCTCAACAGGTAGTAAAGGTAATATATTAAGTTGTCAAGTATTTGTTGAGAAACTGCTGGAAATTCTACATACAGACTAAACACATGTGACCCCATAAACAAAACACTGCATATTGCTTTAGATGATTTCAACAGTGTCTTCTCTTTCCTGACTTTCAGATTTATTTGATCCCACTGCCCATTGGCCATCTCCACTTGACTTTCTAATAGATATCTCAAATTTAACATGTCTAAATCTGTAATTCTGATCAGCTCCCCAAATCTTCCTCCACTCATAGCTTTTACTTAAAGGATCAGGAAACAACAGAGTAGTATTGAATGCATTTCAAAATCTTTCATCTATGACAATATAAAATGTTCCATTCCAGTTGATGGCATCTCTAACTTTGCAGTGGCTCAGACCAGCCAAAAACCTTGGAGTCATCATCGTTGTCTCTTCACTTTGCATAAAGCCTATGCGCAATCTACCTGGAAATTTTCTCAATTCCTGGTGGAATCCATCAACAGCTCTCACCTTCATTCCTGTGATCGTGTTTTAGCTGTTCTTCCTGCATACACTCTCGGCTCCCTGTAGTCTACTCTCAACGCAGTAACCAGAATGAACTTCTAAAATAGATCCCGCCTTATATCTTCCTCTGCCCAAAATAGTCCAGCGGGTCTCCATTCCCCCCAGATGAATGAAAATCAGTGCTTCCGTATATTTTTCAAAGTAAAAAACAAATTCTTTTGAATTAGCACCTCCTTTTATTTCTCTGACTTCCTGTCTTTCTACTCTCCCGGACCTCACCACTCTGGCTCCAGTGACATTTTTTCCCTTGCTGTTTTGTGAGCACGTTCCCATCTTAATCCAAGTCTTTGATCAAAGGTCGTGACATATAGGTCCATCCTGAAAAACTGTGTCCATAAAATATTTTATATTTTATTTTTCCTTTCTGCAGGTGCATACCTTAAAGAAAATCATAATAGAAGATACAAAATGTCACTCATTTAAGTGAAGTCTTGGCTTTCGGGGGTTTGAGGTTTCTATTTAAATGCATGGAAACATGGTTTTAAAATTTCATAGTGGTATCATTCATACTGGCAGGTCACAGTGTTATGTTGTATTTTCAGTAAATGCATTGTTCTGAATAATACAAGAAACATAATGGGCCTTATGGTAGAGTATTTTTGCTGCAAAAAGACTAAGTCTTTACAAACATAATGTGCTTGATTACTTCTCATTTCCTTCTCAAAGTCACTAATTAAGCTTTTACTTAAAGGATCAGGAAACAACAGAGTAGTATTGAATGTGTTTCAAAATCTTTCATCTGTGGCAATATAAAATGTTCCTACCCACATCAATTAACCCTGTGATAATTGAGCTAACATCTCAACTTATTGTATAGAACTACAGTCTGGAGGCCACATGAAAAAGGAGGAAATAATTTAGCCAAGGTTATCTGATCCCTGGGAGAAAGCCCGGAGTGGAGAACCCCACAGTGAATATTACTCTGTACTAGGGAGCAAATTACACTGGAAAGTTAATCTGTACCCCTGACCTTTTGTTGGGCAGTGACCCACCAAACAGACTTTTAGTCCAGCCATATTGGGAAGAATGAGTGGTATCCTGTTTAACTACAGTTATTTTTAAAACCACCATTGTAAAATAAGTATTACTTATCAAATCTTACATTTCTTACTACTTTCCAGAACTCCCATGTAAACAACACGATCATGGTGAGCAGATTTAAAAAAACAGATTTGAATAGTGCACACTAAAGGAAAATTACACTGAAAAACCATAACTAAAGACTTGGCAAGTCTCTAAAAATCAAATGCCAGCAAAAAAGAAAGCAAATGATTTCATGTTATCAAGAAAATTGAGATTTGAGCTACATTAATTGGCTCCCCTGATGACATACAGACAGACAGGTAAAGATAAAAGGAGGGGGATTCTTGCAAACAGAAGAATGTCAAAGTGTAAATGTGAAAGGGAGGTGTGGGTTGGAAATAATTGTTTTAAACCATCATAAGGAATGTATAGGACAAGAATGATCAACTGATGTTAATTAAATCTAGGGACAAAGTTGGCTCAGGAGTAGGATATTTGCATGCCATTAGGATGTCTACACATAGAGTGCTTGTTTTTTTTTTTTTTTTTTAAAGATTTTTTTTTTATTTATACAAGAACCGGGGACAGGCCAGATGCACGGGAGGGTGAGAGGATTCACCAGAGATGGAGCGGGGAGCAGAACAGGCAGAAGGACCACAGTACACTGCTGAGGGGAGTAGCGGGCAAGACAGGAGAGGTCTGCCTTGCCATGTGGGATTCTCGCCGGCCAGCTGGGATCAAACCCGCGCTGCAGAGGCTGCAGACAGCTTCACAGTGCTGCACTCAACCACCTGCACCACTGGGGAGGCCCAATTGCTTGTTAGTTTTAATAGGAAAAAGTGTAATTACACAGGAGAAACCAGGCAAGCCCAGAACAGGAACTTAATGTTAATATCACCAAAGGGCGGATGGACAGCTTGTACCTTTGGGTATTACCCTTAGGGTAAGACAACTTGGTCTGTGTGATATTCTGCCTGGAAATTCACAGCCTGAATCTTAGCATTAAAAATATCTAAAAAACCCAACCAGAGAAACATCTTCTAAAAAAAACTGGCTTTCAGTCTTTAAAATCTCTTGGAAATACTAAAGAAATCAAGTCTCCATTTGTATCAAGGTATTTGTTAATATAGGCACTGAGCATGAGAAAATAATTGTGTATTCACCAGAGGTTTGGTGATATGAGGGTGGTCTCTTCTGAGAGTGCCATTTTTTTTAGTGAAATAAGCAGCAAGTCTCATGCTGAGAGTGGATTGAAGAGGTGTTTGTAGTTAAGGAGAAAGAAGAAAGTTTGAAGCAGTAATCTCCAAGAATGGGGGGTGATGAGATACCTAATGAAATGTGCCATTCCCATGCAAAGCCAAGGACATCCACCCTCAAGTGTGAGATCAATCAACATGATTGTGCATTTTTATCTAGCCACTTTGAGCTCCTAGATACAGATCTAGGGTAGCCAAAGTGTTGGGCTTAATCAGGATTGGCATTTTGTCAGGCATTGGAGTAGAAAAAGATAAGAAAGTTGATGACAGATATGCAGAAGTAATTTTAGAGATGGACCATAAATCTAAGCTGAATAAAGACAGACAAGAAAGAGGAAAAGACATCAGACTAAATTAATTTTTTTAATGCCATCAGGAAATTCAGATGAGGTTCAAAATATATTAGAATGGGTATTCTAGAAATACATAGTGTTTATAGCACAATAATGTTTCTGTTACTGGTCACACCAAAATTTTTTGAAGATAAACAGTCCAAAGGACTGAGAGTTATGGTTTCATGTGTTTAAAAATTATTAAAAAGACAATTTAAGTGGCACAAACTTTATTAAACACTTCATGAAGCAAATAGTTGCATCACTGCCAAATGGGGTAAAGACAAAGGAAGCTTGTTTAGATTAAGAATAAAAAGCAAGGGGGGCCTCCCTGGTGGCATAGGGGTTAAAGACACAGGGCTATCTATCCGCAGCAGCCACCGCAGCGCAAGTTTGATTCTCAGCCAGAGAGCTGCCCACATGGTGCAGCAAACCTCTCCTGTCTTACCTGCTGCTCCCCTCAGCAGGATTTCAGTTGATCTGCCTGTTCTGTTCCCCACTCTCTCTGGTGAATCCTCTCACCCCCTGCACCTCTGTTCTACACCCCAGTTCTTGTATGTATAATCTTTTTTTAAAAAAAGAATAAAAAGCAAGGAAGAGAGAGATAGGAAATACCTGACTAGAGCCACTTAGTCCACACTTTTGGCTGAGAAGGAAAAAACAAGGAAATAAGTGGCGTCCAGATTGGCCTTACGAAACTGACTGACCAGATGTTTGGTGTGGAACCCCCAGCAGGAGCGGCTCCATCTTGGGACTCAAACTTTATTTCAATACATGGATGATGAAACCTCCAGAAAGAAAATAGAAGTCAAGCTGGAAAGCAATATTTTGAGTTTGGACACTCCATCTTCCAAGAATGAGAGTTTGCAGCAGTGAGGGCCACAGGTATCAACAAGGAGGAGCAGAAAGTAGAATCATCTCAGCATGTGCTGCAGAAGAGCTCATGTCTTTAAAGAGGAAAAATATTTGTTTGAAGCATGGGTATGAGAATTTTGGCAGGTACCCAGTGCATCTTCTGGCCCCCAGGGATGGAGAATGTTTTAAAATAATGTCGTATATTTTGATAACATCACACATTTTCCTCATATTCATTCTACTGATGTTGTCCTAAGTGGGTGAAAGCATTAAATTTCCTGAATGAATTTCATAGCATCTGTGTAATATTGTAGCTACCTTAAAATGACATTAAGGATAAACAGCTTATTTGTCCTACTTAAATCAGAAAATTAGATTACTGGTTATAAAAGAATTGCAAAGGCACCATATCTTCAGCTATTATGTCTTAAAATTAATTTGACCTTTATAAAAGAACATAAGCACTCCAACTTAATCAGGAATTCTAAAATCAATAACATGAAAAATTTACTTCCTAGTGAAACTATCATCTGCAAGAAAAAAGAAAAGATAGCACAGTCCACATGTATACAGTTATTTCAAAATGCCACCCATTATCTAGTACTAGAAAAGATATTCCATATTTATTTCATGTTGGTCCTCAAATTATCACTCTACACATTATATCTCACTTTATCAGGATTCAAAGGCTATATGAATGAAAGAATACTGTCTCAAAGCTTAAATTTTCATGTTCAGCATCCAGCTGTATATAACCATAGGGATTCTCCCTGAAATGTCCCCAAGTTTTTATGCAGATGGCAAAATATAAATGCTTTGTTGCCGAAGCATAAACACACACCAAGGCTTCATGACAGAGAATAATGTCACGTCAATCTGTACAATCAGTCAGTGTGTGTCTGCTTGTAAGAGACAGGGAAAGATTGGCATCAGAACAGCCTAAAACCACATGCTTGTAGAAACAGTTCAGTGGGGATTCAGCTGTCAACTTCCATTTTGCATGGAGGTGCAGTGTCTTATGTCTTGGCTTGGATGACGTTTATTATTGTCTCCATCCTCCTAGATAAAATGAAGCAAGTAGTAGTAAAAGGAGTAGGTGGAATACAGAGGAAATGGATTAGACTCCCTAGAGGTTATTCCATTTTGTTGTAGAAAAGAAAGCTTGGCATGGTCAGCCTCTGAGGGGCCAAGGAGAAGCTGTGTGCATGATTGCAATGTTGCTTGTTATTTCTGCCATCCTCATGTTAAAAGCTGGGCTTTCTGTTTGTGTTCTTCTGACACAGTATTACAATTTAGGCAACATTTCCACTAAGAAGTTTGGTAATTTCCAACTAGAATCATGCTTGGGATGATGGTTCTACTGCTAAAATGTCAGAGAGTTTCCCAAGGGGCTGCTCAGATGCTGTGCAATGATTTGGTTCTTGAAGACCTGGGGGACTCAGCAGTACCCTCTTCCAAACCTAGAATGAGACTGGGGTCACTGCAAAATAGATCCATGCCTAGTCACAAGAAAGTATATTAAATGTGATTTTGAGTCACACCAACCTATGTTAGGATACATTTTCAAATACAATTTAGAAAGTCAAATCTGTCATCCTCATTCCCAAATCTGTGTGTCCTCCTTTTCTCTGTCTTACTCCTGTGATGACTCCATGACTCCCCCAGCTCTGGCATGTACTGGATGCCCAATATCTCAACACCTCCTTCTACTCTCCACTCCTTTCTCTATGTACCTGACGTCACCTAAGCACTTGGTAGGGAAACGCTTTTATGATTTTTGCTCCCACTGTCACAAGCCCCCCCACAATCACATATACTGTTAACTTCATCTCCCTTTTTCTTCCACACACTCGATCCGCGTAGCCAAATCATCTTCCCAAAGCATATTCAGCAGCATTCACATCATGGATCACTCATCTCTGTGATATTCAGAACCACCCTGTTTGCGATACAACCAGATTCCTCAAGGTCTTTTCCCATTTCTATCCTCCATCACTCTTCTGCTTCTGCGCTTTACTCAAACTTGAATTACCCCTAAATCCCTTCTGTTTGCCCCTTCAGCCTCACGTTTCCAAAACTCTTTCCCTCTGCCATCAAGTCTAAGTCTCTTCACCAGTGGCACAATTTACACACTCACTCTTTCTCACGTGCCATCTGATGATGAAAACAAGATATTTGCAAGCAAAAATTTGTCTCCTCTCAAGATGCCAGTGACTAAGACAGTTGACACGCGAACATTTGCTTAATGCCTGATGTCATCTTCCTTTCTTTTCCAGTAGCACCGCCCCCCTACAGCTATGACCAGGAGATGGAATACTGCGCAGATTTACCTCCTCCCTACTCCCCAGCCCCACAGGCTTCCGCCCAGCGTTCACCGCCTCCTCCTTATCCTGGAAATTCAAGGAAATAATCCTTCTTCCAGAGCAGTGTGTGTACAAACCAGAGATCTTGCCCAGAATAAAATTCCTCTATTCAGAAGCGGATAGCAAAGGATTGCTCTAAGGAATACTTGTTTCAAACTCAAGTGCAACATCCAGGCTAAGAGATATGGGGTTTCAACTCTATGCAGAGCTAACGGAATACTTGTTTCGAACTCAAGTGCAACATCCAGGCTAAGAGATATGGGGTTTCAACTCTATGCAGAGCTAACACCCTCTGGTTTGACAGGATCACATTCAAAGAGATCTACTGATCAACATAAGCACAGCCAAGGAAGAGTAATGAGCTAGACACAGCTTCTTAAAATCATATTGCCTAATAAACATATGAAGGAAAGTGCAATATTGATCCTGGGAAAGAATATTTATGTACAGGAGAATAGTGTGGACTACATAAAGAAACAGCTATATTCTGTGTAGCTTTAAAATTCAGAACTGGAACTATTCTTTCATTCATCAGTAAATACAGATAAATGCCTGAGAACCCATTTCTGTGCCTTATGCTGTTTTGAAGCTCTGGTTCATGGTTATAGGAAGGGATCTTGTTTTCCAATCATTGATCTTTCATATTGACATTGCTTTGTCAAACTCCCTGTTACCAAGATGACTAGCAGAACCTGGCTGAATATCTGGTGGGAGACACGTTCTAGAAGGAGCAGCTAAATCAAATGTAGATGGGCTCTAGACGTTCTGCTCATGTTTTAGGTAGATGCAAGGTAAATTTCTATTCCTCCCAGAAGGAAAACAACAGGAGGAGGTGAGTCTTATCTATTTAATTTGAGAGGTGAGCCAGGATCAATGATTCTCAACAGCTACTTGAAGCCATGAACTCTTCAATGCTACTTGCTGTTACCTAAACTTATTTGCCTTCATTATGACAAAGTTTAACTCAAATGTCGGGAAAAGTTGTAGCAAGTTCCCTAGGCAAAAAAAAAAAAAAAAATACTCAAACACTTCACCTTACATTAAAAAATGAGAAACCAAATATTCCCAGGGCACTTTATATCAGGGAGCAAAATCTCAGAACTTGACCATGAAGATACAAAAAGAGGGCAAAGCAAATTTCAGATTCCCTTCCATGCAATTCCCATTCCCATGTTCCTTAGACAAAGTTCTGTTTCTCTTTTGTAATATTTTTGATAATCTATTCCCTTGAAAAAGCTGTACAGTTCATGGGAAGTTTAAGATAGTGAAATCAAACATTTGCCTTAGCCAAAACCCAAATTTCATGAAGTGCCTGCCTTTAGGTGGAAAAGTTTTTAATAAAAATTCTAATATGCCATATTTTGCTACAAGCAACCAGAACATCTGTATTTTTATGTGCATTCTTTCATGCATTTAAGATTGTATAATGAGCAAATGTTGGGAATCAATGATCAAATATTTTGGCACTTGGCAATTAAAACTCATCAGTAGCATAATTTGATGAAATACCACAATAATGCTTAAAATTTTGCTGGATAAAACAATCATATGTCCCAAGTTATAAATTATATTCCCTATACTCGCAGTTAAGAAACTAAGCACTCAATAAAGTAGCATATTTTATTTTCAAAAATAGTGATCCAAATGAAATATGATCTAACGCTACCAGTGAGCTTGAAAAACTAAATTTGTTTTGAATGATTTGCTTGATTTGGGGGCACCAGTGATTTTCTTATGAAAACACAAAGCGCTCATGAGTTCCAACCTATTCTAGTAACTGACTTTAGCACCATTTTAAGAGTACACATGCTTTAATTTATCTCTCTTCTGCAAGTGTAATCAGACCCAATTACATTGCAGCTCTGTGACCCAAAGTGCTAGGTTCTCCAGCTTCCAGAATGTTGGTTGCAAATGCATCATAAATTCTGTATGAAAAAAATAGAGGAACTTTGAAAGAAAAAATGGAAAGGATGGAAATTGAATTCTCATCATCTTCATGTCAATAAACATTTACTGTATACCTTCTATGTTCTGCAAACACTACCCGCATCAGAGCCATTTCAGTCCACGCCATCTCTCTGAGTTACTTTATGATCTCCCTTAAGGCGTATCACAAACCCATAGGCCTACAGTAGAAGGGTCTTTTTCCATTTGTATTTAGTGTCACAATAGCATAAATGTGCACATTATCAGTATAGATTTTTGGAGTTCACTGATTATTTTCATAAATGATACATCTTCAGGGGAAATGGTATATGGTGTGGAAGCTTTGAATTATGGTTATTTAAAAACTAATGTATTTGCTGCAGCCAAAGTGTTTACAATAAGCAATAAAATGGAAGAACCCATTATAAGGAGAGTTGTATTTTAATTGTCTTGTGTCCATTTTGTTTCACCCTCCACTGCAGCTGGGTTAGTCTTGTTCTTCTGTGAAAGAAACACAGGACTGGAGCCAGATACATTTGACTTTGAAGGCTATTTCCTGCCACGAGGCAGGTCACTTCATCTCTCTAAAATTCAGCTCTCTCCTCTGGGAAATGTAAATAATATCATTGGCTTTCTCAGACTTTGTGAATATTCAATAAATGCACGTGCCAAATTCTAAGTATATTGTCTGACACATAGAAAATAGTCTATAAATATTAGTCAAAATTGATTAACACAGAATGCCAGAAAGATAATGTCCACTAAACTGCAATGTATAACATGTTAGCCATGAGCTACATACATATTCAATCTAAATTCAAATTAAACTAAATGAAAAATTCAGTTCTTCAGTTTCACTAATCTTTAAAAATTGAAATAACATTGTCTTGACATTATGAGTTTCTGATGTGCATCACTGAAAATCAACACATGGATAGGTTCTGTTAAACTTCCAATTCAATCCTTTTCCTTACCTATTTCAATTTATCCTACCTCCTGCCCCTTCCCTTGTGTTAGCCACCAAATGATCCTAAAGTTCAAAAGTTCATTTTTTTTGTTTTATTTACATCATTGATTTGTTTGTTTTCTCTACTACATATGCGTGAAATCATATGGTGTTTGACTTTCTCTGCCTGGTATATTTCAAAAAGCATAATTCCCTCTAGAGGGATTTCCCTAGATGTTGTTGCAACTGTTGGGGTTTGATCTTTTTTGTAACTGTATAGCATTCCATTGTGGATATATACCCTATCTTTTTTATCCACTTGTCTGTTAGTGGAAATAATAATCTTGTTTCCGACTCTAGGTTATTGTAAAATAGGGTAGTCTTATTCCCACACCAGTCAAAAGCAGCACTCAACTGTCCTTTTTTAGCCAACTCAATCTTGCCAGCTTTTGGCAGTAGGTGAGGGAGGGTCCTGCAAAGTCCTGCACCTATTGGACTATATATCAAACCCATCACATAGTAGAGTTCTCTGTGCTATTTCTTTATTTCTAAATGAAAATTACCTAACACCAGAATCCCAAAGTCATGCAGTCACCTTACGTATCCCTGCAGAGGTTTCGAAAGACTGCCAGATCCTCAATCTGGATCTGGTTGAAATGTGCAATTTTAATTTTCTGATTGTAGGCCTGCAGGACAAAGGAGACGCAAGTCCGATGTAAGTGTTCTTCTGGGACAACTCCACTGTATGATATGATTCAGTTCAATCCACGTCAGGACTTCTAGCAAAGGAAAGTGACATAGCTGGCATGAAGAAGACCTTTGGGAGATTCTGATTTCCATCCTTCTTCAGTTCTAATTCTGCCTTTTATACCCACTAGTACAAAGGAAAAAAACCAGGCTTCAGAGGATGACTTCGGTTTTCTCTCTCATCTGTGTCATCTTCTACCTTGGTTCTGAGCCAAAAAACCAAGTTTCCAGAACTTGATTTTATTAAAAATATGTGAATAACACCACTCTTGCCAGGTTGTTGCAATGGTTATAAATAATATATGTAGACTATCTGCTATAAACGCCCTGTCTAGGGTGATGAGTCAGACAGACACAAATGTACATACTAGTCTCTCTCCAAACTTGTGCTCCTCTTCCAACCCTTACTATTTCCATAAGCAGTTGACCATTACTGTATAACAAATTAGTGTCTTAAAACAACATTTATTATCTCAGTTTCTAGAGTCCAGAATCTGGGGGTAACTTGGCTGGGTGCCCTGGCTCAGGGACTCCCACATATTAGTCACCTCGATGAGCAATTGAGGAAGCTCTGTCCCCATGCACAGTCATTGACAGGTTTTCATTCCTTGCAGGCTTTTGAACTAAAGGCCGTTCTTACTGGCTGCTGGCCAGAGGCCACTCCCAATTCCTTCCCATTTGAGCCTTGCCATAGGGCAACTCAGTATATGTCAACTTTAGCTTCCCCAGTGCAAGCAAGCAAGGAAAGCCAGACAGTGAGAAAGAGGGTGATAGCAAAAGATAGCACTAGCAAAAGGGAGGGGGGCAGAAAACCATTAGGTTTTCTTAGAAGTGACAGCTAATCACTTTTGCCATATTCTTCTATTCCTTCTAATTGGGACAATTGGTCCAGGCTGCACAAAAGGAGGATTAAACAAGGGCACATATATCAGGAGGCCAGGAGCACTTGGAGTCATGTCATAGCTGTCCTTCCACAGCAGGGAGACTTTATCTCATCCTCCTTGAATTGATTATTGGACTTTAGACAATCTCCCCACTAACAGAAATGTACCCACTCAAGAGCTGAAAGAATCCCAGGGCCATGTTTGACTGTGGTCAACTTGCATTTATTAAACAGGAAGCGGTAGAATAGAGCTGGCAACATTCACAGGCCATGCTCATGGGCTAAGGGCTGCATTCCTAAGAAATGCTGAGGGGAGACATGTTCATGTGTCTGTGGGCTACACAGATGAGCTGCGCTGACACATCTCCCCCTGGCAGGGAAGGAAGTACACCACACACCACAAAGCTTGGGGACAAGTCCTAACATGGATCCAGTTCTAACCCTTGTTTCAACTTTGTGCCAAGATATTTAATGTTCATTAAAAAAAGAATTCCAAGACAAGTTTCCAGATGAATCAAGTTCAGTGACTCAAGCTCACCAAGTCAAGTTGCTACCTAACCTATTCCTGATTACCTTTCCTGAAAATGGAAAACAAATACAAAGGAATGTTCGTAAGTGCAGAAACATGTGCTGGGAATGTTTACTTTCTCTGGATGCATTAAGAAATCATCGCTTTAAAAAATTGGTCACAGACTTTTGGATTCCCAGTTTCTAGCCCAGTTTTTGAGTGTCCTTTCTTGGTGTGAAGAGGAGGCAGGGGAATCATTTTCTGATTAAGTTTGGAAGTGGGCAATAAATGAATAAGAGATCTCACATTGTTCCAATGGGCTGAAAGATTGGTAATTTAATTTTTTTTCTGACTAAAACCCAAAGAGTGCCATGTGATTTGATTTTTCCACTTTCATATCTTATTGTAAATTAATTTTGATTATCACATATCTTGTGTGTCACCACTTTTTTTTGACTGGGGAAAACTTGAAAGTCATCCAGATGGACTAAGTAGTTGGAATTTAGTTTTGCCTGTAAAATGCATTTGGGGCCCACCCCCTAGATTTCTCACCACCACCTGAGCATATAGCACAAATACTCTCACTTCCTTGCCTGGGGATAGGATTCTTGCTTCTTTTGTGCAATCCTTGTAATTCTCGCTCGCCTGGCCAGAGGTAGCTAAAGGCTTATACTCTGAGGAGAGGTTGATAATTTATCATAGTAGCTAGTTGATTCCCACCTCTGTACTTTTTTGAACCTGTTTTGCATGCATCTGTACCTTTTTCACATATTTGTTATATGTCTGTCTCTCCCATGAGACTACAGACTCTTTGAGAACAAGGAATGTCTCTTGGTAATTTGTAGTCCTCAGGGGTTATCAATATATTTGGAACATGAAATAAATTATTCAATATGAAGTCAACAACTAATATGTGTATGTATATATACACACATACATTATACACATATATATCATTAAAGAATAGCAAAATAACTAAGAATTAGGAAGAGAGTTTCTAATTAGTTGCATATTTAAGTGGGTCCATAATACAAATTATGGATCAGAGAACTGGACAAAAGGCTATAGTTTCATATTAATTTCATTTTTAATACAATTATTAGTTGATAATGTCTGTTATTTCAGACACAGTTGAATTGTGTCATTAAGTACAGTATTAATACGCCTGTTCAAGCAAACGAACAGGCTCGTTTTGATGGACTCATTTAATGAGAACAAGACAACATGCCAGTTTGGGAGGTACACTGTTATAATTCTTCAGATTAAAACTAAGTTTCTCATTTTTGACATAAAAAGAATATCAAATACCAGGGGGAAATTGCCTCAAATTAATTTCCATAAAATGGGTCCTAACATAATTTAGACTTTGGGAGCAGTGTCCCAAGGATACACAGAAGGCATTTTTACTAAAATAAGATGTCATAGCTTTCACAATATCATTTCTTAAAGGTATGTTGAAACACCACTGAATATTCTAAGAAGAAACCAAAAAAGACTAAACTAAAATCATCTGGAAGTAGGTAATAAAATGGCTATCAGTTTTTGTGTTATTGTTTCATATATAGAGAGAGCAATAGTGCATTTATTCAGGTTCAGAAAAGCAGTAATAACCTTTGCAAAAAGGTCATTTCTTTTATGGAGTTTTCCCTAGAAGTACATTGCCTTAAATCATAATAATAACAACAGTTTTTGTGAGTGTCTTTTATGCCACATGCTGTTCTAAACACTTTAAATTGATTTACATTTACTCTTCTGAACTCGTGGTGTAGTTACTGTTATTATCCCCATTTTGCAGGTTTAGAAACTGTGCATGTATCACTTCATCATCCCTAAAAAAATCTTTCAGCCAAAATAGACTTTCAATGCCTCAAAGAAATAATTTATCTGTTTCCCTTTTGCTTGTAAAAGCTACTTGTGGCAATCTTTGGGCACTCACAGATGCTGCCTTTCTCTGGCTTGAGTTCCAAGTGGATGATCATACATGTTTGAACAATCTTAATGACTCATGTCCTTCTGTTGCAATTAATCACTTAGCCTCCATCAGTTCCAGTTTTTATGGACACCACGGATGAGATACAGCCCCTGGTTCCTGCAGACATTGTCACCTGATTATTTCCCAAGTCATGACTTTCCCTGAACAGAAACCATTATGAATTTTCCATGGGTGCCCTATATTTCCTTTTGACTAAGAAGAAGGAATGAGTCCATATTTATGGAATGGAGAAGACTTTTACGCAGATATAAACCTTTAACTTATTTTGGAGGGAGACTCCTCAATGTTGGTAATCAAACATGAGGTCATATAAACTGGTGTCTGCTTTATATAGCTCTTAATATTCCTATGGAGTTGGGTGTTGGTTTTCTATAACACATTTTTATTAGAAGTTCAAGATCTCTGCAGAATTTTAAAAGAAAAGCACATCTAAGAAATAAAATATTATTAAAATGAGCAATAATAGGTTAGAGTAGTGTGGGAAAATTTTTAAAATGAGAAAAAGGCAAAAATAATCTTCCAGATAATTCTGCATAAACAGTGGAGTTCAATAGTAATTAAGAAATAAAATAGACTTTGCCCAGCACAAA